AAATCTATTCTTCAAAAGTGCTTGAACATGTATGTATGCAACAGTTATTTATTGCCAACAACTCTGTTGCTCTGTTTGAAAAGATCTGAACTATTCCCACTGGCAAAGTGGTTAAACTATGGTCCATATATACAATGGAACAACATGTAGTTGTCTAAAAGAATGTGGAAGATATCTATACACTAACATGACATATCTGCACAATATATTGTTCAGTGAAAAAAGCAAAGTACAAAACAGTATGTACGCTATGCTACCTATGCCTACCTAAAAGGGGAGAGGGTGAGATTATATATATGTTCACATTTTCTTACACCTGCACAAAGAACTCTGGAAGGATGCAGAGAAACCTGGTGATGGGTCAAACTTGGGAACTGGATGGAGGGAGCAATTCTGAGTGACATTTCACACAATGTGATTTTTTACATTGTTTGATCATTGACCCATGTTCATGCACTGATGTGATGAGTATTTAATAGGTGTTAAGCACTCTTTTAGATGCTGAGGACATAGCAGTCAACAAAAGAAAGAAACATCTCTGTGCTCCTGGGAATGCACACTCTAATAGAAGACACAGATGATAATCAAGATAAATAAATAAAACAGGTAGTATGTTAGCTGGTGATAAGGAGATAATAGGAAAAGTGGGTAGGAGGATATAAAGTGCTGAATGTATGCTGGAGGGGAGGAGGTAGACAGAGCGACAAGAGCAAACCTTTCCAAGAAAGTAACTTTTAAGGAAAAATCTAAAGGAAACAAAAGAGTGAGCCTGGAGACTATATTATCAATTTAAAACATTAAATTAAAAAAAAAAAGAGAATGTATTATCAATTCAAAGCATTAAATTAAAAAGATACCATTTAATCTTTCTAACAATCCTATTAGAAGTTATTTTGGGGGTTATTATTATAAACAAGATTATCACTCTCATTATAAATTATATTATGATCCCAAGGGATTCTTGCAAATAGTTGAAGCAAGAAATGCCAACTCCTACAATCCAAGAGGGAAACAAAACATGTGTGGGGAGAGCGCAGACGGACGCCTAAGCCGGGGCAGGGGCTGAAGGGAGAAGACGGCAGTGAGAGGGTTCCGAAGACTGGGAGTGAGTTAGCCAGTCCGGGCCTGGAGGGAAGACTTCTTGGAAAAGAAAATGGCTGTACAAAAGCAGAGAGGTGAGGAAAGGCCTGATAAGTGGTTTAAAAAGACTCTAGTGAGGCTTTTGTCAGGGAGGACTATAAATAATTGAGGGCATGGAAATGTCAATGTCAGGCCCCAAAAGCTCTGGGAAGGCACTTAAGAGAACTGCAGATTAGGACACCTCAAACCATCCCCCAGTCCATTCTCCCTTGCTTGCCTCTACTCTAGAGTATGTTCAGCTTCAGCATCATTACTATCTAGAACCAGTTAACTCTTTGTTGTGGGGACTTGTCCTGTGCATTGTAGAATATTTTTTCACTTGCTAGTTATCAGTAGCAGCCACCCCTCCCTGCTCCAGTTATGACATTACCTGAAATTACCTGTAGGGCAAAATCACTCCTGGTTATGAACCGCTGGTTTGGAGGTTGTTAAAAATGTTCAAGTTCTCATTTTTCTCGCCTCCCTTGCAGCTAGAGATAGTCAAGTGACACAGGTCTGGCCAATGAAATATGAGAGTAGATCTACTGGAACATCCTTCCTTTTACTGCCTTTTAAAAAATCTTGAATGAAAACAAGAACAATAGCAGCCACTTTGCAGCCATGAGATAACAAGCATAAAAGAAAGGCCATGAGAATCACACAGATGTTGGCCCCTACATTTTTGAGCCAATGGACTAACACGAACAAGCACCTATTTCTAGACTTCTTGTTTTGTGGGTAAGGTCACTCCTGTGTGTTTAGGTCACCATGTTGAGATTTTCTATTATTTGCAGCTGAAAACCATTCAAACTGTGAAATCATACAAAAGTTTTTGGATTTTATCCCAGAGAGAGTGAGTATCCACACTAAAGGATTCTAAAAAATAAAAAAAAAACTGGATCATCACAACTACATTTTGGAAAGATCATTTTGCTACAAAATACTATCTATGAAGCAAGAATGGAGGTGGGTACCATGGAAAATGCCATTATGTTAAGACTGACAAACACATGTTGGAGCTTGAACCATCTGGGAATAAAGTGGAGAGGACACATTTGAGGGACATTGAGAGGCAAAATGGACCAACCCTAAGCAATTGGATATGGGTAGTGAAGAAAATGTGTGAAAGGTTAAAAATTACATTTCTGGTGTAGGTGACACCTTAATGGTACACAAAAGAAGGAGCATGTTTAAAGAGAAGAAAAAATTTCCATTCTAGGCTAGGTTGATTTTGAAATGCTTATGGCACACTGAAGTGGTAATGTTAAAGGCATTTAGACACACTGCTTAGAAGTCAGAAAGGAGTAAAACAGTGGTAATTTTTAAAATATATGTATGATAGATTTCAAACTTTTAAATGCCAATAAAATAATATTACATACTACAAAAGTAATTCAATGAAATATGGGATACTTAAAATAAAGCTAAACACAAGAGAAAATTTTAAAGTACACAGACAGATACTCATACAACCCTGGCATCCACGTATAATTTACAGTAAAATGTGGATACATATACATGTAAATGGGATTATACTGCAAACGCTAAATGCAAACAGGCCTTATTCACTTAAAAGCACAGCATAACCATCTTTCTCCTTTAATTAATAGTCGCCCATTTTCCTGATTGTTTTTACTAGTATAAATAGTTCTGAGATCAATTGTCCTCAGTAAAATTTTTACTAGTATAAATAGTTCTGAGATCAATTGTCCTCACTAATAATTTCCTTAAGATAAATTCCTAGATGTAGAATGGCTTGCTTTCCCATAATATGGTTTAGGGTTGTCCACAGTATGGTTTATGTGTTAAGGTTTTTGACAGAGGCTCCTAAGTCATTCTCTGGAGAGACTGTAGCAATGTACAATCTTAGCAGCACTAAGCATGAGTGCTCATCTCCCCATACTTTCCCCAAAACTGAAGTTACATGCTTAATCACTCAAATATTTAAAAGTTTTGTGAATAAAATGTTAACCTCATTGATGTTTTCATTTTACAGTTGTTTAATTCCTAGAATTTCAGCTGTTTATGTTTAATCAGCAATTTGTATTTTTCCTTTGGCAAACTGCTGATCTTTGTACTTTGTCCCACTTTTCTTTGCTATATTTACCTTTTATTGATTTGTAAGAGCTCTTTGTATGTTACAAATTTTAATCCTTCAATGCTACATTTTTCCTTAGTATGCATTTGCCACTTAATTTTAATGTATGTTTTGATTAATGGATATTTAAAACTATTGGAATACTCATGGTTTGAATTGGCTATTGTAAAGAATGGGAACAGGATGTAGCCAAAAGCAAATAGAGAGACTGAGCCCAATTTGAATGGCTCAGCTGTTAGACAACATGAATTTCTAATGACTTCTATCTGCAAAGCTGTAGCAGCATTTGGTTATTTGCATGCAGGGAGATAAAGGAAGGAAAGTAAGATTCGATTAGAGTTTGTATTCACTTGATTTAATCAGAAGCAGGACAAAGGAGTAAGAGACTTTTGCGTATTAGCATGTGTGTTGCCGAAATAATGGGGCCACGTGGGACAAGATAGGAGGCAACTGATGTGCTGGGGAGGGTCAGGGGCCCCCTGTAGTGGGAATCAGGCACAGCAGAATGGGAACATGAGAGAGCTACAAGGTTAAGAACTTTTCTAGTTTTCGTCTATCAAACTTTTCTTATTGCTTCTGATCCATTATTCTATTTTCTTCTTAAAAAAAAACAATTATTTGTATCTGTTGTATTTACCTTCATATTTTATAGTTTCTTTATTCATTTCCTTTATAGTCAGGCAGTGTTCCCCATCACACTCGGAATCAATTTTTAGCTGTCAAGTCTAATGATTTGATCGAACACATTTTAGCCATTCTACTTTCCATTTCCTTACAATCTCTTTTTATCTTAGCCCAAATTTACTTAAAAGCAGCACTGGCTTCCTGCATCCCAAGCAATATTTAATTCCAGGACATGGGGTGGAAAGGAGAAAAGTTGGAGAAAGAGAAAAACAGAGCCAGGCACTCATTCAGCCTTAACAAGGTCACAAGGCACCCGGTCAACACCAGACCATTCAATGAGTTACCATGTTCAACAGTCACCGCTCAGTGTCACGCTGGCCACAGTGGAAAACTGCCAGGTACCTCCTGGGCTGAGTTGAGTTCCAAAGTCCAGTACCCTGTTTGTTCTTGCTATACATATTTTCTAACAACAGCTGATTTGCAAGTATCTTTTGAGGCCTTAAAAACTCCAGACCCTCTCTGGCACTCAGTTTTCAGGGGTGTCTTCACTATAGACTTGAGGGGCCATGATTCTATTGCTTATGAACACATGGTACCAGAGGTTCAAACACCACACTTTTCCAGCTCCAGTGTCCTTTTCCCTAAGAACAGCCTCAAAGAAAGAGCAAAGCTGAGATTCCTCTGATGTGTGGGTACCCATGCACTGGGCTTAAACCACCTTATGAGGGAGATGAGGAGTTGACTAAGGACCTGGGCCTTTGCTGATCCAAGAAGGAAGAAGCCTATACTTGAGGCATATGTAGACTACATGATGCATCCTGCAAAACACAAAGGAGGCAGCCCTGTATGCCCTGAGAAGTCCTCCTTTTTAAAATCAGGTTGCACATCATCTAAGATAATCTCACAAAGAGAAGACATGAGCTTCCTTTATCCTCAACCCTACCTCAGATTTTCCATTGTAAATAGAAATGTCAGGTTTTGCATCTGAACTCTTAATTTACTGCATATCAATCCTGGCTAGAGAACTAGAAAGCAAAACCCTCTTTGCCCAAAGGATATCTAATCAGAACTTCAGCCCCTTCCTTTTTATACAACTTTCAGAGATATCAGGTGAAACAAAACAAAGTAAAAACAAACTATCAAAAAATTAAAAACTCACTCAAGCAGTATAAAATCAGTTTGGTCATTCCAACCAGTAAGCATTTTCATATATTTTTCTTAAATTTCAGCTTAATTCAGAGGTATTTTTTAAATGGCTTCTCTTATGTGACAAGCATCTGTTCTCAAGCAATGATCTTGGGGAGGAAGTCAGACATCTTCCTAAAAAAGAGTACAACTTTGACTCAAGGATGGAGCAAATAGCAGACTCTCCCAAACTCACATACGTTCTGTCTCCAAGTCTCCCAGAAGGTTATCAGACACCTAACAGAATACACGGCCCCCATTGCAGGTCACACACACACACACAGAATGGAGTTGAGACCACTGCACAGAAATAGTCACAGTGAAGACACTCCATCTGCGTCTTTCACATCAGAGTTAAATGCATAATGACAGAAGCAGACAATAGCGCCAAGCTACATCATTCATTCTTTTAAGCCCAAGAGGAAACAAAACATTTTCATCCAGATAAAGCTCTCAGCACCTCTACCCGTCATCTGCCAAATTAGAGGATGCCATGCTGAACTCTCAAACCAGTCAAAACTCAGCACAGCAGAGCCCCTCTAGCCCCAGGCCTCAGCTCTGGCTCAGTCAAGACCAACAACCTACCTGATACAAAGGAATAGGCCGCTAGGATGTTGCTGAGTAAAGCCATGTTGACGTGCTAGGCAGTCAGAGGCTCCGTGCTGGGCGGAAGGGCAGCCTCCACGTGGCATCCAGAGGTGCCTCCTGGAGATGTTTCCACTGGATCAAGGTGGCCCCTCCTCCTCTTCTCTTCTGTTTGGGAACACAAAGTGAGTGATGAAAACACATTCCCTTTCCCGAGGCTGTGTTCCAGGTAGCCTGGGCTCAAAACAAAGAGCCAGTCTCCTAAATGCCAGCCAGCCTCCCTAGACAGGGATCTGGAGTGTTGTCCTTTGCGCTCTAGAGAGCTTCTTGGCTTTCAAGGAAGGAACACCTCCTTACATATCTGTTTTTTCCTGGCCTTTCTCCTTTCTTTCCCCCGAATCCTCCCAACTTCCCATTTTGGCACTCGTCCTTCACCTTTTCTAGTACTTTTTATTGTACTCCCCCTGTTTGCCTTGGAAGCACAGCCCACCCTCACTTTAATCACTGTGCTGCAACCCCAGGCCCAGCTGTCTCATCGCCGGGCTCTGCTTCCCCGACTGACGGCACCTGTGGACTTTGATCAGTTTGCCTCATCCCACAGGTCACCAAATGGGTGTCCTCGGCAGTGGGTGTGAGCTGGCTACTCCAGACCTGCTGAAGTAGGTTCCATTCTAAATGCCCCCAAGAACTCGGGACCTCAAGCCTGGTCCTTGCCCACAGTTTCATGATTCCACCTGTGACTGTGATGGGCCAACCAAATGCACACGCAGGGCCACAGACTGCCCACCGGCAGAGCCTTCCCACCAGGGCTCCGAGCAGGCACAGGGGTCTCAGTGCTCAGGGGCTCGGCCTCTGGCTGTGGAAACACATCATTTCCCAGCTGTGGCATAATCATTATTCAGTTCACTCAGAGAAGCCCTCGCAGAGCACTTGAAGGATGGAAGTGGAAAGAATCTTTTTTTTTTTAATTTTATTTATTTATTCTTAAAGAGAGGGGAAGGGACGGAGAAAGAGAGGGAGAGAAACATTGACATAAGAGAGAAACAGTGATTGAATCAAACCAGCGACCTTTTGCTTTGCGGGAAGTTACCCAACCAGCTGAGCCATGTTGATCAGAGCAGGGGAAAGACTCTTGATGACATTTATTCAATGATGCTCTGAGCTGAGGGCAGAAAACTGAGTCACAGGGTGTGGGAAGATGTCAAGATGGGGAAGCCAGAGAAGCAGAAGGCTCCAGTCCTTCCTGCAGAAGAAACAGGTTCTCAGGTGGATCACTGACATCATTAAAATCCATACTAAAATTCACATGGAATCTCAAGGAATCCCAAATAGCCAAAACAATATTGAAAGGAACTAAGTTAAAAGTTTCACACCTACTGATTTCAAAACTTATTTCAAAGCTACAGTAATCAGCCCTGGCCATTGTGGCTCTGTTGGTTGGAACATCCTGTGCACCAAAATGTCCTCTGTTTGATTCCCAGTCAGGCATGTACCTGGGTTGTAGGTTCAGTCCCTGGTCGGGACACGAGGGGGAGGCAAGTAACAGATATTTCTCTCACACATCGATGCTTCTCTCTCTCTCTCTTCCTCTCTGTGCCTCCCTCCCTAAAATCAATAAATGTATCCTCAAGCAAGGATTAAAAAAACAAAAAGCTACAGTAGTCAAAACAGTGTAGTACTGGCATAGACATACATATGGTCCAATGGAACAAAGAGCCCAGAAATAAACTCTTACATATGCGGTCAAGTGATATTCAACAAGTAAGGAAAGAACAGTCTTTTCAACAAATGTTGTTCACAAAACTGAAAAGAATGAAGTTGAGCCCTTACCTTACACCATATTTAAGAAATTAAAAATGGGTCAAGGACCTAAACATAAGAGCTAAAACTATAAAACTCTTAGAAGAAAACACAGGAGAAAGCTTCATGACACTGGATTTGACAAAATTTCTTAGACATGCAAGGTAACAAAAATAAAAATAGAGAAATTGAACTATATCAAAACTTAAAATTTCTGTAGATTAAAGGACACAATCAACAGAGTGAAAGGCAACCGCTGGAATGAGAGAACATATTTGCTAATCATGTATCTGATAAGGGGCTAAGATCCAGATTATATAAAGAACTCCTACAAATTAACAACAACAAAAACAAACAACCTGATTTAAAAAAATGGACAAAGAACTTGAATAGACATTTCTCCAAAGGAGATAAACAAATGATCACATGAAAAGATGCTCAACATTACTAATTACTATGGAAATCCAAATCAAAACCACAATGGATACCACCTCACACCCATCAGGATGGCTACTATCAAACAAACAAACAAACAAAAAATAGAAAATAACAAGTGTTGGAGAGGATGTGAAGAAATAGGACTCCTTATATGGTTGATAGAGAACTCCTTATATAGTTGATGGAAAGGTGCTATAGAAAACAGTATATAGCGAGTTCTCAAAATATTAAAAATAGAATTACCATATGATCCAGCAATTCTACTTCAGGGTATATATTCAAAAGAATTGAAAACAAGAACTCAAGCAGATATTTGTGCACCAATTATTATGAAGCACTATCCACCGTAGCCTAACTGTAGAATCTATCAAAGTGTCCAGCCACAGATGGATAAGTAAATAAAAGGTGGTGTATATATACAATAAAATATTACTAATACATAGCCTTAAAAGGGAAGGAAATTCTGACACAGGCTACCACATGGATGAACCTTGAGGACATTATACTCAGTGAAATAAGCTAGTCACAAAAAAAAAAGCAGTGTATGGTTCCACTTACACGAAGTGCCTAAAATAATCAAATTCATAGAGACAGAAAGTCGAATGGAGGTTGTCTGCAGCTGGGGGCAGAGGAGAATGGGAAGTTACTGTTTAATAGGTACAAAGTTTCAGTTTTGCAAGAAGGAAGTATTCTGGAGACTGGATGGTGATTGAACAACAGTGTAAATGTACTCAATACCACTGAACTGTATACTTAAAAATGGTTAAGATGGTAAAGTTTATGTTTTGTATTTTACCATAGTTTTTTAAATTAATAATAATAATAATAAGGTGTTGATGGGGTACAACAGGAGATTTTGAAGGTTACTTCATATAGAGAATACTGAAATCCAATTTTGGTGTTAACTGGAATGGCAGCAGAATTATCTTGTATTGATATTGTAGTTGATGTCAATAAAATTCTAATTTATATCATACTATGAATATAGTAAAAGATGTCATCTCATGTATCAAATATTGGATAAATAATTATAATCTATGGCATTTACAGATTAACAGGATAAACATACCATTAAGTACAAAAATATGTTTATGTAAAATTTAATAAAAATTCATAATCTTAAAAAAGTCTATAGCCGTAAAGCTCCAAATCCTCCATACTCTTTGACTATTAAAGTATCCAAATATTCTTCTAATATTGTACCTAAGGTATTAGAATTAGAATTAGCCATTTACATGTTTGTCTCCCAGACTGAAGAGGCATCTTATAAATCTTTGTTACCCAAGCACCTAATTTGGTGCCTAATGGAAGGAGGTTCTAAGTAAATGCTGGCTGACAGGCTGGCTGGAAAACAGAAAGAGCAGTCAGGCATGAGCCTTGTATGCTTAAGTCTCTGGGAGTATTTCTGAATCGGTCTGAGGGTGAGCCACCTTGAAGTCTGAAAGGATACCAAGGCTGGCTGGCTCCGAGCAGGGCACCAAGCAGAGCACTTCCTCTGGACTATGAGAGGACCTCATGCAGGATGGAAGCTTCACTGGCTCAGAAATTCTTCCTGCATTTCCTCATGGCCCAGGTGCTAACTGAGAATGCGGCAAGAGCCAGAGGCAAGAGGAAGAGGGACAGAGAAGTCAGGCCTAGAGTGAAGAAAGACAACCTCTGGATGGTCCACCCTAAAGAGCAACCAGGAAGTCCCTCCTTGGTCCGTGTGGCACAAGTCAGCCTCAAGCACAGGTCAGGACATCCTTACTATAAGGGCCAGAGAGTAAGCATTTCAAGCTTTGAGGGCCATATAGTCTGCCTCAACTATTCAAATTTGCCATTGTAGTATCAAAGCCACTGCAGACAATATGTAAATGAATGTGTGGCTGTGTTCCAATAAAACTTTATTTTTGAAAATAAGTGGTGGATGCAGGTAGGCCCATGGACCATAGTTTCCATAGTTCTTATTCCTCAAAGTATGGTTCAAGGACCAGCAGCAATGACATCACTTCGGGGCTTGTCAAATCCACATAATCTTAGGCACCACCCAAGACCTTTGGAATCAAAATCTCACTTTACAAGATGCCAAGGAAAGTTTGCTCAGCAGATCTGCGATCTGCTTCAGCCTGAGCACTAAGATGCGGTAACAACACACGCTCAGGTGGAGTTTCACTTCGCACCTCCTTTGTAGATGGGATCTCGGGAAGCAGAGCATCCTCGCTGGCCCTGCCACACAGTCAGTGCTCCATGCAGCTCTGAGCTCCCCAGAGAGGACCCCAAGACCGAGGGCAGGACTCAGCAGAGAACATCCTGTTTGGCCCAGCTGCCAACAAGACAAAGTCTGCAGAAGTCAGAAAAGTGATGAACCCCAGAGCCAGACTCTACACCCCAAACCTTCTCCCTGAGCCCTCCCTTAACAGTGATGGAACAGCTCCAGGTAGCTCTGAACATTTTCCACTGGCCGTTTACCCTGATTAAAACATTACCACATTTCCTACTGTGACGGTTAATTTTTAGTTAACTTGACTGGCCATGGGGCATCCATATTAAACATTATTTCTGGGTGTGTCTGTGAGGGTGTTTCCAGATGAGACTGGGATTTGACTTGATGGGACTCAGAAAAGCAGATCGCCCGTCCCGGTGTGGGTGGGCATCATCCAACCTGCCGGGGGCCTGCATAGACCGCAAGGTGGAGGAAGAATCAAGGTGGAGGCTTTTTTCCCCCTGCCTCGCGGTTTGAGCTGAGACATCCCATCCCATCTCATCTTCTCTGGTCCTCAGACTGGGCTTTGCACCATCAGCTCCCCTGGTTCTCAGGCCTGAGGCCTTGGACTGAACTCTGCCACCAGATTTTCGGGGCTCCAGCTTGCAGATGGAAGACCGTGAGACGTCTCAACCTCCACGGCCACGTGAGCCACTTCCTCATAATAAAGCTCCATATAGATATAGATATAGATATATAGATATAGGCATAAATATAAGATAGATAGATAGAGATAGAGATATATAGATATAAAATCTCCATCCTACTGGGCCTGTTTCTCTGGAACCCTAATACACCAACCACTATGAAGTGAAGGGGCATGGAGCACTCATCCACCCCAAAGTGCAGTTTTGCGCTCTGATCCTCCAGGAAGCTCCTTCTCATGGGCTTGCTCCTAGAACAATGAACAGTGATTCTCAATTTTGGGCAGCAAGCCCCCACAGGGGACATGTGACAATGTCTGGGTACAATTTTGGCTGTCACAGTTGCAGTGGGGATTGATATGGCATCTAGTGGGTAGGGAGCAAGGAGACTTTTAAGCATTCTAAAATGCACAATAGCCCACCCCCAACGAAGAA